CTCCTAAGTGCTAGCATTAAAGGTGTGAGCCACAATGCCTGGCTTAATGTTTTCAGGAGGGGGAAATTTCTGAAATCACCAGCTGTTTACTATTTCCTGTTGCAAATTAGGTTAAAAATTTATTATCTAGCCGGGCGGTGGTGGCACACACCTTTAATCCCAGCACTCGGGAGGCAGAGGCAGGCGGATCTTTGTGAGTTCGAGGCCAGCCTGGTCTACAAGCGCTAGTTCCAGGACAGGTACCAAAAACTTCAGAGACACCCTGTCTCAAAAATTCAAAAAAAAATTTATTATCTAAATGTAGGCACAATTTAGAATGTGCTGGCTGAGTAGTACTTTTAAATAGTTTCTACTTAAGTCTGCCAGGGAGCCAGGTGTGGTGGCGCATGCCTTTAATCCAGCAACAAATGAAATTTGCTAACTAATTAGGAAGCATAATTGCCAGGAACATTTTTCTTCCCGAGTCTCCAGGTATGCCGTGCTTTCACTGCTCTACTTGAAGTAGGATGAAGACCATGTAGCTTTCTGTAAACCTGGATCAGGAGAGCAAGCTCAGACATGTAACTGAAGAATCCTTTATTTCTACTGGACTCTCCAGAAGGCACACCCGAGGTGTTTGTTATTGCTAAGAACAACATTGTGTCTGTGTGTAGGCAGAATTTTTCCAAGGGAGAATTAAAACTGATGAAAAGAATTCTAGTTGCTGTTTGTTTTGCTTTTAGTTATTTATTTATTGGTTTGGTTTTTTGTTTTGTTTTTGTTTTTGTTTTGAGACAGGGTTTCTCTGTGGCTTTGGAGCCTGTCCTAGAACTAGCTCTTGTAGACCAGGTTGGCCTATGAACTCGCAGAGATCCCCCTGCCTCTGCCTCCCAAGTGCTGGGATTAAAGGCGTGCGCCACCATTGCCCAAATTGCTTTTATTTTCAAAGTCTCAAACAAGTAGGTGTTTCTTTTGTAGGTGTTTCTTTTGCCTCCATTTTATTCTAGCTATTTCTGAGTACTGACAATATTAACTAAAAATATAAAAAAGGGGAAAAAGTAATTGTGATGTTTAATTATTTGAACAAGTTTTAGACACAAAACATAAAAGAGGGAAGACATTTTCCTTGACTTTGCTTGACATTTTTTCTATTTATTTATTTATTTATTTATTTATTTATTTATACATTATCCTGCCTGTAGGCCAGAAGAGGGCACCAGATCTCAATATAGGTGGTTGTGAGCCATCATGTGGCTGCTGGGAATTGAACTCAGGACCTCTGGAAGAGCAGTCAGTACTCTTAACCGCCGAGCCATCTCTCCAGCCCCTTGACATTTTTTTCTAGTCAAGAAGTAGGCTAGGGTCAATAAGTATTGTAAGAAATAAAGTCACTCAGGTAGACTAAAGGAAAGGCCTAAGAAAATGAGAATCATAAGTACTTTTAAAAGCACACAATTTGGGGCTGGAGAGCTTCACAACCAAAAAGGCTCTACTTTCTCTACAAACTAGGCCAAGGACTGAAAAAATAGCCAATAGCTCTTCTGAAGGATGGGGTGTTGGTGGTGATGGGTTATTTCATTCTGAGTGTCCAGTCCAGTCCAGGGTGATCTGACACCTTTTTTGTCCTCCCTGGGCACTGCACACACATAGCACAAGAAGGAGACCACACCCTCCATACATCAAGGGTTCCCTCCCTGACCTCAAATTAAGCACAAACCACATCCAAACACTTGTTTTCACAGCAAGGTCCTTATAGGCAGAAAAACGGCAGCAAATGACCTTGCATGTGTGGTTTTTAAGAAGAGAAAAAGGGCAGTCTGTGTTAGAATGGGCGAGGATGCCGTAGTATATTTTGATTGGGCATGTTAGTTAGGTGATTCAAAGTTCTGATTGTTGAACTTTAACACTTTGATAGATGATTGGTATTTGTTTCCTAAAACCACTGAGGGAGGGGTGGGAGTGGGGCTACTGGAAAGATGGCTCAGCTATTAAGAGCACTACTTACTCTTCCAGAAGACCCAAGTTCAGTTCCCAGCACCTACATGGAGGCCCATAACCCAGTTTCCTCTGGTTTCTGCAGTCATTAGGCACACACATAAGTTAATAAATAAATGAGAACACACTTCTTCAGTTTGTTTGATATAGGCACTGGGGTTCCTGTGTGTGCTTTTGAGTTCTTTTAAGGAACTATGGCGGAGTCACAAAAGAATTAAGAGACAGGTCACCCTAATAGGAGACAGGAAGCTTTACTTGTGTAATGGGCAGAACACTGTAAGGGTATACAACAAGAACAACAACAACAAAACCAAAAGAACACCGCAGTCTGAAGCTCCTTTTGTTAGCTACAAATCAAAATACCTTTGGCAACTTACTGGATTTCCTGTAGCTTTATTTTCTCATCTTTTAAACAACTACAGGAGGCTGGGACATAGCTCACTGGTACAGTGCTTGCCTAACATGGCCAAGGCTCTAGGTTCAAGACCAGCATTGCCCCAAAATGTAAGATCATTATGCTTTTCTGTGACTCACCAGTCTATCAAGCAATAAAGTTTGGCATCTGAAATTGGGTATATCTTTACTGTGTTAAGCCTTTGAGATCAGATTTTTTGGTTTATTCACCGGGTTGTAAGATTACCTTGTACCTAATAGTACTCAATAAATATATTAGTGAACAATTAGGTTGTTTACTGTCAAGAATTAGTTAGGCCTAAGATCGCAGCAAAAAATAAGGCTGAGGCAAGATGCTCAGGAATTCGAGGATAGCCTAGGCTACATATGAAGAAAAAAAAAACAAAAAACAAATACACAAAACCAACAGAGGGCTAAGATAATTCAGTTGGAGGAGCACTTGCCTAACATGCTTGGAACCATGCTTCCATCGCCAGCACCTCATAAAATTCTCCAGTTGGCACACACCCACACCCATTATTCTAACTCGGGATGTGGGCAAGACTATCAAAAGTTCAAGGTTAGCCATACAAGAAGTTAGAAGCCAGTCTGGACAATATGAGACAGGCTCAAAAGACCAGCGCCACCGTCACCTCCCCACAAAAAACTTAGCATTGTGCCTGAGACGCATGGTCGTTTAACTAAATAACATATTGTACTTACTATTTACAAAGCACCCCACAATTGTTTTACTACTTGTTTAGCCATGAGTAAAACCCGTTTTATCCACGAGCAATTAAATACCTTGTCCCAATATCTCACAGTTAATAAGGGGGAGGGATACAATTCAAAGACAAGTTCTTCTACACTAAATTAAAAGTTATTTGTTAAAGATTCTATTTAGGGTGTAAAATTGTGGAACGAACAAGGGCCCTGTGGGCTGGGCTAAAGTTTGTTGTTTTCTATGCCAGTTTTGTCTCAGTACGGTAGTATATATAGCATTTCTGGACTTGGGTAGGGCGCTTTCAAGTGAAACCCGATACCAGGTACTCCTAAAGCCCGGGGTTCTTCGACCAACTGCACCTTTGTCTCTTCTTGGGCAAGAGCAAGAGCGGATAAATGACACCAGTGTAAAGGAGAGGCGTGCGGGTGTTCCTGGGTGCGTGGCACCGCGTGCACGGAGCCGCCTGCACTCCCTCTCCACACCCGTCTTCCGGGCCTGCAGCCCGCACCTCCCGCGCCCCCTCCCGCCCGGCACCACCGTAGCTTGGCGGCGACGCGCCCGGGCCTAGGGGGAAAAAGTTTCCAAACCTCGCTTCTCGGCGCTGATTGGCCGAGCCAGACGCGTCCCGGGCGCGGCAGCCAATGGGAGACGCGGGCAGCAAGGTGCGGACGGGGCTGGGACCGCGCTCCGGCCCTGCTGGCCCGTGCCTAGCCGGGATCGTCGTCGCCCGGGCGGGGTAAGTGAAGCCAGGTTGCGGCCGGGGCCTCCCACGTCCGCAGCACTCGGCGGACGCGTCCCCCAAACCTGACCCCCAGCTTTCCGCCTTCCCTCCGTGAGCTCCGCCGCTCGCCCTGGCCAACTCTGTTCCTCTTCTGCCCGCCCCTTCCCTTCCTCAAGCCCGGCGCTTCGCCAGCCCCTTTATCCCGCAGTCGCTGGGTCCCCAACTGCTGCCGCACGGGTACCAGCCTGTGTCCAACTTCCCCCACAGTGCCTCTTGGGTCTCGGCCTCCGGACGTTTCATATTTCTGTAGACATCACTTTGGATCGGATAAACTTTATCCGATAAAGGGTGAGAGTGCTTACCCCACACCTTGGATGTTGGCCCAGCTCTCTAACCTTTTTGAGGTCGTGGGATGACTCCGGAGCGACTTTATCTTTTCACCAAGTCATCTCGGTTTTGTGCCAGGCTGTGCATGCTCCTGCTTTTTACCCGGAACCTTTCTAAACTTCCCTGATAAAGAAGTCTTTTGAGGCAGGGAGGAGGTTTGTAATTTTCGCTGCCTGCTGTTTTGTGTATTGTGTGCTAGGATAACCTCTTAGGACTGGGAGTCTGACACAAACTACTCTCCAAACCTAAGGTTATCTGAGCATGCACCACTCCTCCCACACACACTGGTATTCAAACAACTTTGAGATTTAAGTAATTCCTTTTACAGCGTTCCATATGGAGTTAAATATCTGTGGCCAACCAACCCCCTTGAAGTCGTAGGGGTCTCCGATTTTTATATTTTACCTCGACTTGGATAACAGTTTGCTTTCTTGTAGATATCTTGTAGATATTGTTTTTTCTTCCAAAGTGTGTTCTGCTGTAGAATTTGTGAGTCTAGTGAGAGTAAAGCCCCGTTCCTTCAGAGGGCATTTCCTACTGTGAACCTCTACAGCCTGCCCTGGGGTTGCACTGGAGGATGGAGGAGCCTGGGATGTAGCCCAATTCTCTGTGGGTGTTAAAGAAATGTTTGAAATGTTTGAAAAGACGTGGAGGGGGCCCAGACCACAGTAGGAAGATTCCTTGGCACCTTGATCAGTAGAATAAAATGACCTCCAAACAACAGGTACTCTGTTTTTATTCTTATTCAAATATAAGCTCCGCCCCCCCCCCCCCCCCCCCCCCCCCCCCCCCCCCCCGTAGGGAGCGTGCACTCAGGCCGGGCTCAATATCTGAACTACATCCTTAGCCTACCAAGTGTAACCCTTTTAAAATTTCAGATGCAACCAATTTTCAGCTCAAAAACACAGTTCTCACCTCAACAGAATAATACAGTTTTTCTAGAACCCAGTATAAATGACAGTGGCCCCGCAGCACAGATTCAGTTACTCGTGGTTACTTGAGATCTTTCTGGTTACAGAACAAATAAAGTAAAAAGTTAAGGTGTTTACCAAATTCAGTGCTAGGGTCACAGCAGGGAAACTTCCTCCAGTGGAAGCTACTGGAGGTCTGCTTAGAACAAGTTTTAGCTATGATACAAGTCAGATACTGGGATGGGCAGTGAATAACTTTCAAAGGTGCTGAAAATAGCACAAGATAATTCGGCTCTGATCTGCAACATTTAATTTTACATTATTTTGAAGTTCAGTTATTTGGTTTGTAGAATCTGTAACAAGGTGCAGCCAGCCTGACTTCCTCCCTTATGGAAACTTGAGTTCACAATGTTTATTGTAAATTGTGTTTTTTTGTGTGTTTCTTTTTACCAAAAAGTCCATTGTAAGGAAGTGTGTCAGGTACAAGTATGCAAGCGCAGTGCCCGTTCTCGCCGCACTGTCTATCCCTGTTGCCGAGGAGACTGCCCTTCTACTGCAGTGTATGTAGTTTTCCAGTTGTCTGCTGATAGTTCTCCACGTTAGAGAAAGGTGAGGACATGTCCTTGCATGTCTCCGTACTTGAGGAGCTTGAAGACTTCTCTGCTGTAAGTGCACACTGCATTTCCATCACCATTCAGGTTTATGTGTGAATATTTGGCTCCTTTTTTTCTCCCTGCCTCTCCCTTTCAGCGTTTCTGTTTGTTTGTTTTGAGACAGGTTATCTCTGTGTATCCCTGAATTTCTCTGTGTTGTCCTGGAACTCGCTCTGTAGACCAAGCTGGCCTCAAACTCAGAGATCTGCCTCTGCTCCCAAGTGCTGGTATTAAAGCCATGGTCTTTTTTGACAATTTTATACAAGTGTCATACTCACCCCTACACTCTCTCTTGATCGTTCAACTTTCATGTCTTGTTTTGGTTTTGCTTTTGCTTTGTGATTTACTAGGGCCAATTCAGTCTCCACCTTCTTTTTTTAAACATGGTCTCTCAGTGAATCTGAGCTCACTGATTCGGCTAGACTGACTGGCCAGCATGCTCTGAGAATCCTCCTGTTTCTACCACACAACCCTTCAGCACTAGGGGTGTAGCCTAGCTTTTTACATGAGTGTTGGGGGTTGAAACACAGGTCCTCGTGCCCACTGAGCCCTCTCTCCCCCTTTTACTAGGTCTCACTGTGTTGTCTAGGTTGATTTCAAACCTCTGACTTGGGCTGCAGACCTCTTTTCCTGGTCTCCCAAATGGCACCACTGCACCAGACTCCTGTTGCTTTCTTAGGATCCCTGGACTTTTCTTCTCCCTTCACCTTTATTCTGACTTTTTTTTTTCTTTTTCTGGATCATTGCAGAAGATCCCCATTTTACACCTGGGCCCCCGCAGCCAGCCGTACCACTAGGCTGAACTTGTGAGTTGGAGAGTCCACCTGTCAGTATCCTCAGTGCCCCAGTGGCTCCATGTGGCAGCCAAGCAGTCCTCTGTTTCTCTCCTTTTTTTTCTTCCCTCTTTCTGGCGTCTTTCTCTGTGGCCCAGGTTAGCTTAGGATCTCTCCATCTTCCTGCCTCAGCTTCTCAGTTGCTGGGATTACAGGAGTCTACCACCACACACAGTGGGCAGTAAATTTGTTAATGGGTTTGAAGAGTCTCCTGTGGGTTTTAGCCCCTCCTCTGCTGTCAGCTTCCTGGACTTCCTC